GGCGGCCTCTCGCCGCAGGGGCTGGCCCTGCTGGAGGGGATGCCCGCGCTGGAGAGTCTGTGCCTGCAGGGCCCGCTCATCACCCCGGAGATGCCCACCCCGACTCAGATCATCTCCGCCTGCCTCACCATGCCCAAGCTGCGCGTGCTCGAGCTGCAGGGGCTGGGCTGGGAAGGCCAGGAGGCCGAGCAGGTGCTGTGCCGGGGGCTGCCCCACTGCGTGGTCATCGTCAGGCCCTCCCCCAAAGAGTCCATGGACTGGTGGATGTGACCCTGGCTCCCCGGCCCTCGGAGCAGCATATCAAAGAGGGGAGTTGATCAGGCTGGAGGGTTCTGGCTGCAGAAAATGAGCTCCCCGGCGCCGCCTCCATCCCGGCCAAGCTCTGCCCGAGGGCACTGCAGTGCCTTGTGCCCTAACAGCCGCCCTCGGGTACGCAGGGCTGGGGACCCGAGGGTCACACCCTTCTAGGCCGGGCAGGGCCGTCTGTGTCCAGGGTACCCACCCCGCGCGTTTACTCGGTACCTGTGTGCCCGCGCAGGCGGATCAGGAGTGGCCTTTTCGTAATCAAATGTTCCTAAAGGTGCTTAGATGTATTTTCTGAATTTTGTATTCTGCCTTTTTCCAGTTTTTCACAGCATATAATATTTTGCTATTAAATAACAATCATTTTTAATGGTGTCTTTTTTTTTTTGGTACCGGGAATTGAACTTGGGTCCTCTGCAAATTGCCCCGGCGTCTGCTATTTGGCAGGCACTGCTCTGGGTGCTGGGGCCACCGCAGTGAGCCCCACAGTGGCCTGTGTGGAGCTCAGAGGGAAGACTGGGTGACAGGCAGGGATGACGGGGCCCCTGAGACAGCAGAGCGGGGCCACGTGGTGCTCTGTTTGGAGGGAAAGGTGGTGGCCCGCAGAGGCCTGAGTGGCTGAGAGAAAGCAGCCCAGGAGCTGGGGGAGGACAAGAGCGACCGTGACATTTCCCAGAAGCAGGAATGGGGGGAGGGAGGAGGAAGAACGGGCTGTGTGCGCGTCGCAGGTGCTCAGGGCGGGGGTTCGGAGGTAACAACCCTTTCCTGTCTTTTAAGTTGGAACCACTTGAAAGATGCAGGTGTCATCCGAGTGCCTACCCACGTGAAGCGCGGTACTTGTCTTGGTTTTTCCTCTGTGTGTGTGTGTGAGTGGTCTTGGTTGTCCGTCCCGGGGCGCTGTACTGCCGAGCTCCACCCCCAGCCCTTTCTGTTTCCTAACTTTGGGCGGGGTCCGTCCCTTCAAGTTGCCCAGGCTGGCTTCCCACCCCGCCTCAGCCCCCCGTGTGCACCCCTGGGCCTGCCGCCTCCCCGTCACAGCTGGCTGAGGCCGGGGCCCCTTCCTGTGGTGGCAGAGCCAGGAGAGAGGCTGAGCTGGGCCTCCTCGGGCTCTCATCCTAATCTCAAGGCGGAGAGCTGGAGATGTTCCTCGCCTGCCGTCCAGTCCCACCAGCCGAGGGGGCAGAGATGCCTTTCACGTGTGGCCCGGCGACGGCTGGGTTGTAGGTTGCCCTGCATGCTTAGTCTTTTCCTTGGTACCGAGAATGGAGCTCAGTCCCCTGCGCTTGAGAGGCACGGGGTGAAAGCGCTGAGCCAAATCCCCGACCCCCTGTGCTTAGAGTCTGACTGTCCAAAGCCGTGACCAAACCTGGCAGCCCGGGACATCTGGGGGACAGGCTGGGGACAGGGAGGGAGATGGCACGACGCCTCTGCCGGACGTGGTGGTACAGGCCCGCGATCCATCAGTTCTCAGCAGAACCAATGAGCGAAATCCCTGGCCCTGGCCCAAGTGTACTTGTTGCAGCAGTGCCTTCCCCCTCCTCCAAAAGACCATTTCTACCTGTGAATTGGTCTTTTTTGGGGGGCTGGGATTTGCTAACCATAGGATCCCCTGACACTTTATGCTGAAAGTCTAACCCCCCTGATAATGATACGATGTACAGGCTCAACCACTGAGCTAACCTCCAGACCCGCCCCATACATGTGTATATTTATGGAAATTGTTTTGCAGTACGGGGCATCGAACCCAAGGCCTTGAAGCTGAGCTGCATCTCCACCCTTTATTTTTTATTTTGAGACAGGGCCTCACTAAGTGGCTAAGTTGCCCAGGCTGGGCTTGAACTTGTGATCCTCCTGCTTCGGCCTCCCAGAGTACTGGAATTGCGAGCGTGCGCCGCCACACTTTGCTTGGTTCTGTCTTCGGCATGGGACCTCTTCCCACCCTCCCGTCTCTGTCCCCCAAACTGCCTTCATCTCTTAGCAGCGTGGTTGCCTTGACTTTTAATTGTCTCAGTTGACATCTGTCATTACCCTTCCTGATTCTACTTTTGCTTCTCTAGACTCTACAAATGACAGAGATCTTTACAAAACATGCTTCAGGTCATGCTGCGTCCATAGCTCCAAACCCTTCACTGGATTCACATTACACTCATAAAAGCCAAGCTTGGGGAGGGGGTGTACACCTGGGAGGCTGAGGCAGGAGGGTTGCTGCAAGTTTGAGGCCAGCCTGGGCTATGCAGTTCAAGGTTTTTACAGTAAAATCCAACATTTACAGTCACATAGCTGGCCCTCTGTGATCTTCCTAGTTTCGGTCCTGGCTAAATCATTCAAACCACTTCAGGCCCTGGGTTTGTACTGTTTGTTAAAGAGGCCCAAGCATCCTCCAGCCCCAGGGCCTTCACACTTGCTGTTTCTTCTTCCCCAGGAATTTACAGACATTCCCTAAATCCCTTCAGCATGTTCCTGGAGGTGAAGTGGAAATGTTATGTAGCGATAACTCTGGGCCTTTTCTTCCCTGTTAAATTCTTTCCCCAGCCCTGCGCTCAGCCCAAGCAGGCAGCAGGCAGAGATTTTTTTGTTTTGGTTTGGTTTTGAGACATGTACACCTGGGAGGCTGAGGCAGGAGGGTTGCTGCAAGTTTGAGGCCAGCCTGGGCTATGCAGTTCAAGGTTTTTACAGTAAAATCCAACATTTACAGTCACATAGCTGGCCCTCTGTGATCTTCCTAGTTTCGGTCCTGGCTAAATCATTCAAACCACTTCAGGCCCTGGGTTTGTACTGTTTGTTAAAGAGGCCCAAGCATCCTCCAGCCCCAGGGCCTTCACACTTGCTGTTTCTTCTTCCCCAGGAATTTACAGACATTCCCTAAATCCCTTCAGCATGTTCCTGGAGGTGAAGTGGAAATGTTATGTAGCGATAACTCTGGGCCTTTTCTTCCCTGTTAAATTCTTTCCCCAGCCCTGCGCTCAGCCCAAGCAGGCAGCAGGCAGAGATTTTTTTGTTTTGGTTTGGTTTTTTGAGACAGGGTCTCACTATGGAGTTGAGACTGACCTGGAACTCACTATGTAGCCCAGGCTGGTCTCGAACTCACAGCGATCCTCCTGCCTCAGCCTACCCAGTGCTGGGATGACAGGCGTACGCCACCACGCCCTGCTGGCAGAGGTTTTAATCCAAAGATACAATGGGATGGGAAATGCTTTTTTTCTTTTCTGTGGTGCTGGGGATATGACTTTGGGCCTCATATGTGCTAGGAAAATGCTGTACTACTGAGCTACGCCCCAGCACAAAAGTGCTTTTTTACAAGGAGCATTTCCCAATGAGGAAAAAGGTTTTACGGTTCATCCTGAAAAGCAAGTTTGAGACTGCATGTAATACTGCAAGAATCCAGCAGGTGGCAGAACGTCGCTTGATTTGCCTTGGAAATGTAGGCTCTTGGCTGGAAAGGTGTGAAAGGCCACTTAGACCCCTTAGCCCTTTGGGAGAAAGTGATACTCCGACATCTATGATATATTTGTTTTGCTTTGGTTTTTTGTTTGTGTGTTTGTTTGTTTTTGAAACAGGGTCTTGCTATGTGATTCAGGCTGGCCTTGAATTCACTATGTAGCCCGTGCTGGCCTCAAATTAGCGATGATTGTACTACCTCGGCCTCCTGAGTGCTGGTATCACAGGCGCACACCACCACACCCGACAAAAGCTAAGGTTTATTTAAGTAGCAACAGGGAGGGGTAAGGTTAACTGGGATTTTTCTTGCAGAAAAGGACAGAACCCAGTGGCAGAGGGCCAGGCAACGAAATCACCAGAAAGAACACAGTGTCCAAAAGGTGGTAGCAGTAGTACACCTCTCCATGGAGCTCTGTGCTGCACCCAGCTAGGCAGGGCGGAGGTTTTAGAGTAAACTGCTTAGGGGGGACATCACAGCTGCTTTGTCCCAGGTGTGACCAGCTTGCAACGACAGCTGACTTTACACAGTCAAGAAGCTCGTTCCTCCGGACAGCAGTTCCCTGGGTCCCTCAGATAATGTTTGTTTTTTCTCCTGAGACAGGGTCTTGCTATGTAGCCCAGGCTGGCCTTGAACGTGCAGCAATCCTCCTGCCTCAGCCTCCTGAAAGACAGGTGTGTGCCACCCCTCCTGGCAATCAGGTAATGCTTATGTGGAGATTCCAGACCCTGTCCACTTGACTTGGCAAGAGTCTTGGGTACACAAAAGGGTACATTTTGGGGAAATGGAGCTAAATGCCCTAGTTTTTCTTAGCTTCAAGGATGAGGACAGGAGACACTAGATCCCTGGGCCAGAGACCAAAGGACTTCATCATGGCACAGAGGGCACAGAGCCTCACATCTTTGTTACCTTCGACTCTCAAATCTCCCTGGGAGTGACACGGAGCTCCTCAGGCAACTGTGTAGGAGCAGTGGCGTCTGTCTCACCAGTAAGTAACTGCAAAGTTTTCTAAGGAACTGCAAACAAACCTACCCAATCTTTGGCTTAAAGAGAAATATCATTTGTTTTTTTTTGTTGTTGTTGTTTCAGTACTGGGAGATGAACCCAGGCAGCGCTGAGATACGTCTCTAGCCCTTTTAAATTTTAAAATTTAATTTAAAGTTCTATTTATTTATTTATTTATTTATTTTTTGGTACCGGGGATCGAACTCAGGCCCTTGTGCTTGCAAGGCAGGCAGCAGAACCGCTGAGCTAAATCCCAACCCTTTATTTTATTTTTGAGACATGTTCTTGCTAAATTGCCCAGATTGGGATTAAATTTATGATCCTCCATTTTTTTTCTGTTCCACAGAATGTTTTGTTTTGGAGATGTAGGTTTGTGTTGCTGGGCTCCTGCCCAGTGTTCCAAAATGGTCTGTGACTGTTTGAACTGTGTGACCTCTCAGGAATGTTCTGTTAAGCTCTGTCCCTTCACAAGAAGGTTCTAAGTCCCACCCCCTCTCAGGAATGTTCTGTAGCTCCGCCCCCTGTCAGTGAGCATGCTCACCTGCCCTATGGATCCCTACATAAGGAGGCTGTCCTTTCTGGTAGTGCTCAGACTCCTCTGAGCCCACTGGGGCATACTGTGGTAATAAATGGTTTTTGTCCACCTCTTCAATGACCGTCGGATTTTTTCGCGGCGGGAGGTACTGGGGATCAAACTCAGGTCCTTGTGTTTGCGAGGCAGGTGGCAGAAATCACTGAGCTAAATCCCCGGCCCTGACCATCGGATTCTTGAGTCTTCAAGGAATGAGAGAGCTTCGACCCAGAGCTGTCACACGGAGCTGTGACTCTTAGCTATAGCACCGAGCGGCTCTGCTCTGGCCTCCCTGCCCAGTTTGGAGACAGTATCGTAGTGACACCGAAC